TGGATGGCCGCCTTCAGGGCACCCCAGGGGCACGCTCTTCTTTCCCAGGTGTCGGGGCTCGCAGTGCCAGGCCTCTCACGGGGAGACAGGGCCCCCTAAGTTGCCAGTCACACCCATCTGCACATTAGTAGGCAGATTCTGTCACAGAGGTGGCTGCTGAAACGCGAAAGCCTTCGGAGCTGTTGGGATGAAATGGATCCGACACCGAGGGCAACCGTGAGCTGGGCGGAGAGTGCAGATTGACTGGGGAGCCTGGACCGTGTCAGAGCAAGACCCTCCTGATTTAATTCACAGACTGGCTCTTCCACCAGGCAAGCTCCCAGCATATCGGAAACAACGGCAGCCGGGAGGGCCGGCCCTGCGGAGAGCTGATTTCTTGATGGCGAAGAGCCTCTGAAATAGTAGTAAACTGGGGGAGGTGGAGGAGACACCAGGGGAAACCTCGCTGCTCATGAAGGGAAGGATTTCAAACACATTTCTAGCGGGCGGGGAGACTGACCCAGTTTATTAGGGGAAGAACAAATCCTTTTGTGTAAAGGAATTATTTCAAGGTTTTCTTCCTCTTCCACTTCCTGTCTGGTAAGGGGCTACAAGAAAGAACCAGGCTGACCTCTGGGACCGCTCCCCCCGAGCAATCTGGCCGGGGTGGCCTTTGCTCCCCAAATGCTCCCGCTCAATACTCAGTCTGTCCTCCCACGCACCCCCAAGGAGCTGCACCAGGGGTGCAGGCAGGGGGACAGGCGGGTTCTGAGCAGCCCCACTGAGGGCAGGCGGCCCCGTGTGCTGTCAGGGAAGCCCAGACGAACAGGCCTGACTGGGGTGAGCATGAACTAGGGGGCACCGAGGGCCCTGTCTTTCCAGACCGCTCAGCCCATCCTACACTGGTTTCGAGTCAAGGCAATCTTGTTTCCACCGAGCACAGATGCCTACAGTGGTTCTCAGGCATCTTGGTCATAAAATCACTTAGGAAACTTTATTTTTAACATCTACTGATTCCCGTCTTCTGCTAGTGAGAGAGACAGAAAGAGAGAGCTAGCACCCCCAGAGTAGGTACTGTGACCCACCCAGCTTCAGCCAACTCGTCATGGGCAGGCACGGGCCCCGAGAACTCAAGGGGGTCCCCAGAGTGAACCCTGAACCTTCCCACCTGGGTCAGCTCACAGGGCTGGGTTTGGCCACTACGCTACCCTCTGGCCCCATGGGAAACCCCTAAGTTATAAACCTGTGGGTCCACCTCAGGCCCTGGAGTCCGGGTTTCTGGGTGGAACGTGGGGATCTGAGTACCCACTTCCTGGGAACACCCGCGCATGGTCTTGCTGGCCCATGCAAAGTGCCGGGCTCGCAGCGCGTCTTCGCCCTCCAGGCCCCTGCAGGCCCACTTGCAACACTCGCTCTGCCATCTCCCCCCTTGTAGAAAATGAGTTAAAACCATCCTTTTCCACTGGCCAGCCAGTACCCGGCAGGTCTGGGGTCTCCCTCAGCCCTCTTCCCTGACACATTACCCTGCACTTACTGGGGAGCGCAAGGGAGGGAGCGGCAGACGCACACGGGCTGCCCTGAGGTCCCGGGAGCCGGAGGATGGGGTGAGAATCAGCTCCAGGAAAAGGGAGGAGGCGGCACAAGCAGGTGAGCCCGGCACGGCATCGCGGCCAGCAGCCAGGAAGCCCTGAGCACCTGCTGCTCGGAGCCCTGGCCCGATCAGTCGGAAGTACCAGTTGCATGCCCGAGTGCCTGAGGGGCTACAGGAGGGGTCACGGTGAGGCCAGCCATAGGAGGTGCCCCCCTCTTGCAGGTGCACACCCTGTTCTGTCGCCAATAAAGAAAGTCATTTACAAAGTTGGTCCAGTGAAGTCCCAAGCCTCCAGGAGATCCAGACGGTCAGGCCAGGGAGGGTACAGCACCCGCCTCTCCTCACTCCCTCTTGCGGTCACCTGTTAGCCCCATGGGGCGCCGAAAGTCTGGCCACACGGCTGGTTTGTGGATTGGCTTTTGTGGGGCTGAGGGGCAAATCCTGTCCTTGCCACCAACATCTGGGACAGGCTGCTCGTCCCAGGCCTGGGTTCCTCTGTCCAGACCGAATGGCCCAGACCCGTTTCCCACACTACCTGGAGCCTCCTCTCACTCAGCCCTGCCGCTGACCTGACCAAGAGCTCTGGGGACCCGTGGAGTCGGGCAGCCCCTCTGCTGAGGGCGTCCCCGCTCGAGGAGTAGAGACGGCCCGCGGAGGGAGGGGGAGCTGGTGACAGACACGGGCTCTGTGCAGCTGGGCAGGGGGCAGTTACAGACACTTACAGTGGGGGAGCTGGGCGTTGGCAGGAGCTTGGGTCCCTACACACTTTCCAGGGCCCGCTGTCACCAACCTCCTTCCGCGTGGGCAGGAGTAACCCTGGTGCCTGTGCCCCTGCTTCTTCAGGCCGCTGCCAAACCTAACGCCAGCCGGGCGGTATGGGCCTCCAGAGCTGACTCTGCGTGTGACAAACTTACTGTGTATGATTCACAACAGCCTGGGAGCAAAACCGTGGCTACAAGGGACAGTCACGCTCCCTGCTTGCTTCCCAGATCTTCCCTAATTTACATCAGGGTGGGCAAAGCATTCAGACGTCTGTGTGACACGTGGGCATGAGGGCTGCATGCCCCGAGTGCACACAGGTGGTGCAGGTGTTCTGCTACAGGAAAGGGTTTGCATACGCTCCTGCTGTGGCCGAGGAACGTGGTAACATCCCATGGGCTCCATTTCCTACGAGCTTTAGCAGCTCCTGCGGGCACCAGTGGTCCCCTCAGTAACTCTCGAACACTCCCTAAAGTCCTGCTTTTCAGCCAGTGGGAACCTCAGTAACTCTCAAACACTCCCTAAAGTCCTGCTTTTCAGCCAGTGGGAACCTCAGGTGTCCACTTTCTTTGTCATGATGGAGCGTGTGTGTGCACGTGGGAGAGGACAATGGGAGCACCTTCGCAGGCCTGCTCACACACGGTCCCCCTTCTGCAGCTCCTGGGTCGGGCACTCCGCCTGTACCCCTGAGCTGGGCCCACGCTCCATGCTTGTCCGCACTCCCTCCTTCCTGTCGCACCACCGTCTCGGCCTCAGTGACAGGGAGCTCGCGGCCTTGGGCAGCTGAGCTCCTCTTTTTGAGCGTTACAATGTGGACCCTCTGTGGACTGGCCAGGGAGGGCGTCCACCTGGCAAAGTCCTCCCTGGTTGGACCCTTCTCAGCCATGCCACCCTCCCTGTCCACTCCCCTGCAGAAACCACTGTTGCCCCGCTCAGTGCCCCGCACCCTGTCTCCTGGCCCAGCCTGACTGCGGCGTGCAGCGTGGTGTCAGCTTTCATCACGAACTGAGAAATAACTTTGACCCCCAGGCAGACAGCTTGGTTCTAATTTGATGCTTAGGACCGGGCGCTAAGGCTCGGTAGTATTTCTCGGCTGTTTAAATGTACCGGCGCCAGCAGCCTGTGCTGCAGCAGGTGTGCGGGCACGAGCGAGGTGAAAAGCAGCCCGCCTGCTAGTGCCGAGGCCCAGCATGGGGCTCCTGGCATACGCCATGGGCAGAGCCAAGCCCTCTCAGATTTTTCTCAAAAGCAGTGGCTCCCACGCCTGCGGGGCCTGACTGGGAAGCTGAGAAGCTCCCAAATGCCGCTCCTCAGGCACCTCACTGCTCAGACGCATGTCTGGGGCAGACGGTACCTTGACGTAGTAGCGGATGAGCAGCCTCCGGAGGTCGAACACCTGCAGCATGGTGGCGGCGTTGTTGTCGAGGATGCTGTAGCCTTCCAGGATGTACTGCGAGCGCGTGGTCTCCCAGGCGAGCCAGCGCAGGTGGAAGGCGGCGTTGCAGGACAGCAGGTGGGGCAGGTGGCCCGGCTGGCAGCAGCAGCAGTTGCGGTCATCCTCGTCACCGTCCATGATGGCTTCCACCTCCCTCTGCTGGCAGTAGGTTCCTGGCCAGGAAGGAACGAGCTGGAGTTAGCCACAAAGCCACGCCCAGGCCGCCTAGAGTGGAGCCCGTGCCTTCAACAGAGCGGAGGGTGCCGAAGAGGCTCAAGGACCGGAGGGCTGCTCTCTCCTAGAGCGCCTCCGAGTCTGTCACGATCCCCATCATTGCTCAGGCTTTCGTCCGTTCGTCCATTTTGACCCCGGCTTCTCCTATTCTGACCTCAGGGGAGGCACGTCCTCATGGCGGTCATGGACACGGATATACAGCCCTGAGCTGCAGGTCGTCACTGAGCAGGTGGGGGCAGAAGGAGGGGCCGGCGTGTCCCGAAGCACGCCCAGGACAGGCCCTACAGGAGGCCCACACCAAGCTGCAAGGGCATGCCACCTGCCGCACCACGGAGGCCAGGGACTCCTGATCCGGGTCAACGGGAACATCCCCAAGGGAGTTCATTCCAGAAACAAGACAGAGGGTGAGAACAACTCTTAAAAACAGGACACCCTACCTACCTTGACATTTTCCTCAATGACCTGACAGGAAACAGAGACAGCAGGCCAATGACATGAGGGAGGGCCTTGAACCATGAGTCACAGTGAAGACAAGAACAAAGTAGGAGAGGCAGGAAGGGCAGCAGGAGCACCTGGGCATTTGCTGCTGCTGCTGCTGGTCCTAGTGCTGCTGCTGGTGGCTGTGGTAGCTAGTGCATATTTTTCAGGGTAACCTGGGCAGTAAGCATAGATTAAGGGAAGGAAAGATATAAGGACAAAAGAAATTTAAGAGCTGGGTGAAATGAGAGTTCCAGAAGACAGCTAAACTGGGTAGTGTAGATACAGCAGAAAGAAAAGCCAGATGTAGAGATGAAAAGAAAGCTACATAAAATAATTATCCAAGTGGAGTTAGGAAGGAGAGAAAATGCAGGGAGTGGCAGGAAGCAGCCCCAGCCAGCTCTGGATCACGGGCCGCCCAGGCCCAGTGTATTCAGGGAGGTCTCCAGACACGAACAGGAACTTCTCACGTGAGTCAGTCTGAGAGTGCCGTGTTTTCACCACTGCGCCATCGTCCAGTGGAAGGTGCTCTGGGCAGACAGAGGACGGAGCCAAGGCCTTGGGGTGGGAGCGGCCCGTCCTGCTCCCAGGGCAGCAGGGACGTCTACGACAGACTGTGCATGTGGGGACGGGACAGAGGGAGCAGACAGGCAGCCGGGGAGCACTGAGCTGGAGGAACTGCTGGGGGTCTCGGCTCAGGAGGATCGTGGGCTGGTGTGTGTCTTCGGGGCCCACTGAGGCTGCTGCCTGGAAAATGGGCTGTGGGGCAGTGAGAGTGGGAGACAGGACTCCACCTGGGAGGCCGAGTGAGCCCTGGTGGAAGACCAGGCTGCGGTGGAAGCGCTGAGAGATGATTAGATTTGGATCTGGCCAAATCTGTGACACCCTCGTCTTTGGTCACCGGCGGGCTCAGGACCTGTAGCCCTCCTCTCAGTTCCAAACGTCCTCTTCCCTAACAGCCACCACCTGGCTTCCCCAGCTCACGGCCGCCACGGCCCACTGACGGTCCTCGCGCCCTTCCTGGGGCCACACCTCGGTCCTACCGCCAGGTCCTGTGGGGCCTCCCTTCCACCTTCACTTCCCTCCTCTCCGTGGCCACGTTAGAGCCATCGTCCCACGAACACGTCCTTGTGCCCTCATCCTGTCTGCGTCCTCATAGCCATCGGGCTCAGTCCCGGCCCCGGCTAACTTGGCCCTCCCAGGCTGCATCCACGAGCGACTGGCAAGAGCGGCCACGCAGCCGTCTCACAGAGGCTGCTCTTCCACACCACGGCCATGGCCGTGCGTGCTCTCACGCCCTCCCCGCTCACCCTTCCTCACGCTCAGGCCCTCTCCCTTGCCCCCTCCGTGCCAGGTGTTGCCCTTCTCTCCCGCCATGGGGATGAGCCCCTCTGTCTCCCTCCCTCTGCAGATCCCGTCTCCAGCCATCAGCGCCAGCCCTCCACCCTCAGCCTGAACCCCCGTGCTGCTCGTCTCCCACAGTGGCCTTGGGAGCCCACGGACAGGGGGACAGGGTGCAGGCACGTGGGCTTCCCTGCTCCGGACCCGCAGGGGTGGGGATCCTGCTGCTGCTCAGCGTCTCCTCTGATCCCCGCCCAGGTCCCGGCCCTGGGTCTCTGCCAGCAGCACCTTCTCCTGGGAGGAGAGGATGCTCCGCTGTGGCAGATGGAGCACAGAGGTTTAGTGTGCCCTGGTGCGCCACCTGGGGAGGTGCTCATGGCTCCTGAACGGGGCGCTCTGAAATCAGAATCGCATCAGGCTCCCAGGAAGAAGCTGGGACTCAGAGCGGCCTGTCAGTGTGCTGCCCTGTTGACCGTCCCGATGTGCTGCCCGCCTGGAGACTTGCTACAGAGCTGCACGAGGGGTGGGGGCCGCAGCCCAGCTCTGGTGCCCAGTGACCGAGCGGTGCACAACTCCTAGAAAGGAGGGACGACAGGACGGCGTGGAGGTCAGGTGGAAGGGGACAGCGGTGGGGGTGAGCCGTGCGAGTCACCGGCTGTGAGCTCTGAGTCTGCTCACTTCCCGGTGTGCCTCTCCTGGGGCAGCTGGGAGGGATGAGCTCTGCCCTCCCGGGAGTGTGCTGGGCCTTTGCCGGTCAGGGCGCTCCCCGTAGCCAGGAGCTCGCGTCCTCACAGATGAGACCCACCTGCCCTTTGCCTTCGCCCCTGCCCTTGGTGTCCCCCCTCGGCCACGCCTGCAGGCTGCCTGGCTCCTGCTGCTGCCACGCCCTGATCCTTCACCTCCCTCCTACAGGGACAAGCTGGCGTGGCCTAGGCCCCTGGCCTGCCACAGGAGCACAGCAGAGGGCGGGCGACACGGCTCGCCGACTCTCACTGCTCCACCGTTCTGTGTCCCCCACTCAGGGGCTAAGTGGGATCAGACTCCACGGCTCCCATTCCTTTAGGAAACCTTGAACCTGCCACCGGGAGGCGCCAGGACATGAACCGGGATCTTCCTGCCGTCCAGGCGTGTTACCACGGCACGGCTGCCTGGCCCCTCACCTGTCAGCGTGGGAATGTCACCCTCACTCCGCCCTGGCTGGGTGGACGCACGTATGCAGACCGTGAGCAGCAGGAGCCTCAGTCCTACTGGCGTGTTGGCGGGAGAGAGCTCGCCTCCGTTCTGGGGCCTGGGGTCACACAGAACAGGACTCGTGACCTCCCTGTCCATGGTGACCACCCACTGAGGTGCGGGCCAAAGGACGGCACATGGCGGGGCCCTTGGTCCCCCTTGGCTACCCAAGACTTGTGCCCCCACTCTGGGGAGGGACGTGCCACGCTGGGCTGGCAGGCCGCCCGCTGTTCCCCCAGGTCCCCAGCTGGATGGCCCTGCCTCGCCTCTCGCAGATCTGTCAGTCCAGGCACTAGTGCAAGGAAACGGCGGTCCAAGACTAGCCCAGCCCGTAACCACCTTCACGCCACTCTCTGCTTTCTGCTGGCCCCATATCAAAGCCCAGGGTGACCATGACAGCACCGTGGGGGGAGGGGCAGCAGCGCTTCTGCTGGACCCTTGGCCGGGATCCCAGGGTCGGGCGGAGGTGCCTCCCCCACACTCGCTGTGAAGGCAAAACACATGTCGGTCCTGTCCCTTGCCGAGGCCTGAACATGTCGGCCCCGTCCCTCACAGAGGTCTGAATACACGTCGGTCCCGTCCCTCGCTGAGGCCTGAACACATCGGTCCCAACCCTCGCTGAGGCCCGAACACGTCGGCCCCGTCCCTCGCTGAGGCCTGAACACACGTCGGTCCCGTCCCTCGCTGAGGCCTGAACACACGTCGGGCCCGTCCTGGCGCCCGTGCCTCGCGGAGGCCCGAACACACGTCGGGCCCGTCCCTCTCTGAGGCCTGAACACACGTCGGTCCCGACCCTCGCTGAGGTCTGAACACACATCAGTCCCGACCCTCGTTGAGGCCCGAACACGTCGGTCCCGACCCTCGCTGAGGCCCGAACACGTCAGTCCCGACCCTCGCTGAGGCCTGAACACACGTCAGTCCCGTCCCTCACTGAGGCCTGAACACACGTCGGGCCCGCCCCTCGCTGAGGTTGAACGTGGCCATTATGCAGCTGGTGGACTCCAGCCAGTGCACCTATGTCCTGTCTCGGCAAGGTGGCGACCACCTCCCCCTGCAGGACTGAGAGTCAGACACTCTGTCCAGGTGCCCCTGCACAGAGGGAGCTTGTGGGGACCCTGACTTTGACTCTTTGAAGCGTCCACCCCAGACCCTGACCAATGTGCCAGCGTCACCAAGAAGAGAGGGCACTGGAACGCATCTGGGGGGACAGGGCAGGGGGCTGTTCATGCAGCCCGCGGGCGGCGACCAGCAGGGGCTCACTGCGTGGACGGCGGCACCCAGTCTGCCAGCCAGGCTGGGACTCCTCACAGCTGCTGCGGGATTCTAGACCTGCCTCTTGTCCCACAGCCAAGTCTGTGCCCTAAATTCAGTGTCTCCCGTTAACCGTCCTCTGCGGAAGGGAGCCAGGCTTGGGTCCCACAGTTTGCAGCTCAGAACTCCCAGAGGCATGAACACTTCTTTTCCTGGAAAGACGGGACCTTCTCGGCCCACAGCCTGGGCAGCCTGCCTCCCTCCTGGCTGTATTTTTCAAGTCTCGAGAGGAGCCAGAGCCTGTGCCGTGGCAGTAAGCGTCCCCTGGCGAACTTCAGGGACTCTGCCCGCAACATGCTCACTGCTCCAGGCTGTGCCCAATAGATGAGATCTAACTGAAAGCAAGCCTGAAGTTTGCCAGTAGGGACTTGAGAAGCCAAGCAAAATGCTGAAAATTAGGAGAACACCAAGGGAGGTCAAAGAAACAGCCCTTCCCTGGGAGGAGGGCATTACAGATTGCAGAGACACGGGACAGAGCCGCCACTCGGGTAGCTGGGTCCTTCCTGTAACAACGGCATAACTGAGACCTCAAGTTCGTGCTCCTGCAGAGACCTGTGTCCCAAACTGCAGGTGAGCGAGGTCAAAGCAAACGTGTCGTTTAACGGTTGTATGGGGCAGGAGAGCTGGCAATTTCTCAAGGTGTCCTTACCGCACCAGAGTGGCTCTTACGGCGGCTCCAGCCCCACTGCAGTTTGAAGGGAACAGGAAAGTCCAGAGACCCTACCAGAGCAAAGAGCCGCTGTTGCCTTCACCTGCCCACACCATGTGATCGCACGGCAGCTCCTCCCCTAGACCCTTCCGCAGATGGAGAAGGGAAGCTCAGGGGCAGTAGGTGACCTGCAGGCAACAGGCCCAAACACCTGAGCCCGGCAGACCCAGGGCCTACTGTGGGTCCCACGGGGTCCGTGACTGCCGCTGCTTACCAGCGTTTTCAGAAGGGGCATGCCCCTAGAGGGCCTGACTGGCTGCTGCATGGTTCATACACCACATTGTGTCCCCCATACCCACAGTGGAGGGGTCCCTCCCGGCAGGCGCATGGTTACAGGAGGTGGTCACTCTCGCTCAGCAGGACGGGCGTTAAACCCTGCCTCTGCATTGGCCACTCCTGACCAAACTTGCCATAATGACTCGAGCGACGAGCGATGGGCTCCCAACAGCGCTCCCAAGGACAAGATTCTTACCTCGGAATTCCAGTCCTCGAAGCTGAAAGGTGACAAGACCATTTCCAATTTCAATCAGGTGGACAAAGGCGTTGAGGTCGTCTGAAGCCAAAATAAAGCAATCTCCAGAGCTGTAGTTTCCCCAGCGACCCAGGACGAGGTCTCCACAGAGGGACTCCTGGAGGGTCCGCGTCAGGTGCTCATAGAAGATGGCATTGAGGTTGTTGTCATCGCCCCCTGCAGGCAGGCAGGGACACCTGTGAGTGCCCACCCCACGTCCTCAGGCCGAGGCAACGGCGAGTGTCACTTGATCACAGGAAAATCACACTCCTCCCAGCACACGAAGAGCAGGACCCGTTCTGGGCCCATTTAGAGGGCTGTAATAAACCCTCCCATCGCCCTCCAAGCCTCGCTTAGACCAGCCGTCGACACCTGCGCTGAAGTGCTGCCGACGGACTCACAGCCGCGGCTCCAGCTGCGTCTCCCAGCTGGGCTCCAGACCTGCACTCCTGTCGCTGCCTGGCCTCCTCTCACCTGTCCCTGTCCCTGACTCCCACTGTCCAGTCCAGACCGCCATAGCGAGACCTCCTTCCCCACTCCCTCTGCATTCCACCTTCTTCAAATACTGTTCACACTCCCCACCTTCCTCCAGCTCTATTCTGAGCTCCTGCTATTTCTCTGTGGATACACACCGGCCACGTGACTCACCTGTGCTCCCTCACTCGGACCTGCCACCCAATCTGTTCTGAGCCAGGTACCTGTGACCCTATGACTTGAAGCCTTTAGTGGGTTCTAGCGCTCCTCATACAGAGACAAGACTTTGTAACGTGGCCTTGGCGGTGGCCAGGTAAGGTATCACTCAAGAGTCCTGAGCCAGCCGAGCCCACGTGGGCACAGGGAGGCGTGTCAGCCTCCATCCTCCCTCACCGCACTCCCTCCTGCCCTCACGAGCAGCAGCCCAGAACTTCTTCCAGTCAAGGGCCTCCCAAGCTGCTTCCCACTGAGGGCCTTCGGAGGGGCAGGCCTCTCCCCCTGGGCCGCACCCCATCCTCTCTGGCTCGCTAGCTGTCGCTCTGAGGCCGCAGCTCCGTCACCACTCCAGGAGGCTGTGGCTGACAGCTGCAGGACGCACCCGCACGAGGGCTCTCGGCTGTGGGCCACTGCGGTGCAGTGCGGGGGTCGCAGGCCGAGGTTACCTTCCTTGCGCGTTTTCGCCAGTGCGTGGCTATCGACTGACACCTGAGCTCTCCGAGGCCCCGTAAACTCGGTGAGGACACATCTCTGCCCAGACCCTTCACGTCTGCATCTGGGTCCTGGCAGAACCCCAACATGTCCTGCAGCTACTAACCACAGAGCCTGGCCTCCTGACCTGGTTGGAAAACGCACGCCCCCGTGAGCCTTTAGTGGGTTCTCAGCGCTCCTGATAGAGACGGGACTTCGTAACGTGGCCTGTGGTGGTGGCCAGCTAAGGTATCGCATGCCCCACTTAGAGTCGCCTCAGTGCTTGTTCGGTATTGAGCCCTGTTAATAAAGGCATTTCAGTTTGTGGATGGAAATAATATTAGAAAACACCCACCATGGATAATTCAGTTTCTCTATGAGAAATGTTTTGAAGAACATTTTCAAGTAACCCCAGGGTTTGTTTTTTTTAAAATCAGAGTCATTGAGCTATAACTTACAGGCAATAAACAGCATCAATTTTATATCTCTACAATAATATATACTGCAAACAGTTGTTACTAGTATTACATAATATACACAAATACATCATATGTAATTACATAGATAGGAACTGGCGCCACTTGTAAATGATTATGTGTGTGTGTGTGTGTGTGTGTGTTTATTGAAGAATTGTGTAGGGTAGAATTCACCCTTCCCAGTATTCTATTCTGTGTGTCTTGTAGAACACGCACTGCCACGAAAGCACCACTGGAGCAGTGCCCTCCTCCGCAGTGCCGTGACCACCTGTGACCTCTCTGACCGCTGACAGGGCCTCCTTGGTAGGCACACGCCAAGATCATCCATTCATCAGCTGAGGCCACCTGACTTGATTCCAGTTTGGTGACTGGTAAGGCCACGGGAAAGCCATGAACAGCGTTTGTGTGAGGATGACTTGGCTTCTGCTGTGTGAGCGCCCGGCAGCGGGGCCAGTCCCCGCCCCAGGGCTGAGATCCTGGTTCTGCATCCCAGCCAGGACCGGATGTCAAGTGCTCTTGTTTGTTTAACATGAGCCTTTGCTGATGATAAACAGCATCGTGGTCGGTGACCATCAGTGACCACGCCCAGCGGAGGGCAAAGGCAGGATGCGGGGAAGGAGAGAGGAAGGTGGAATACCTTCGCATGGAACGCCAGCGTGTTGGGGACAGAACTGGGGATTGGGACCCCTTTCTCTCCAGAGGAGGGACAGAGCTTCCTGCAGAGAACACTGGGTAAACTGGGACATGCTACCGGGGGCTGCGGGCGAGGAGGGTGCTGGGAGGGCTGGGGAGACGTCAATTCATGACTATTTCTTTGGGAGGAAGTCCTGGCTCTGGGAAGCCTGAGAAACACCAAAACCAACTCCATCCAGGCTCCCTCCTGGGTATTCCGGCAAAGTGCAGACAGACTCTGGGAGGTCGGAGGCAAGGACGACAGGTCTGACCGGAGTGCCTGCTCTGTCCCTCTGGGAGCCGGGCGTGACTGGTGAGCACAGGAAGGTGAAGACGCCCCGAGCACACCCACATAGGAAGAGCCGGCTCGGCTGCTAGGACTTTCTAACAGGGTCAGATTGACGTCCTTGCTGCGCGTTGGCGGCAGGCAGAAGCCGAACTGCAGTGGCAGCGTTTGGAGGCTCGCCTTGTCGGGGGGGGGG